GACAGCGGCGTTTGGCAGGTCCTTCTGCCACCAAGATATTTCTCGCATGTGTTTTGGTCGCCACTAGCTAATATGCGATCAACAAGCCGCGATGTCGCTGCTTGATCGGCTGTAACCGCATCCAAAACATCAAGGGCCTGGTCGAACTGCAGCTCGAACCCCCATGCCGCCGCAGGAACTGCCATATCCGATGCATACTCCACTGACCGCCGACAGCAAAGTCCCCCTAGCCCCAGAGCCCGCCCCACCACCTTGACGAACAAATTACCAGGCCAATGCAACTGCACTGCCCTGTCGCAAAGACCCATGATGGCTCTGCTGACAGCACCGCCGATCGCCTCGTCACTGGCCGCTAGCTCCTGCAGCACAGCAAGCCGCGGCGCAAGTATAACTGCAAGCTGCACGTAATCTGGGTCTCGAATCTGCCCGCATACATGCAAAGCGCTGGCCGCCTGCTCCCAGCTCTGCAGCCCGTCAGCCACTGCGCCCCGACACAACATATCGAGAACCAGTCCTGCAACTCCGCACAGCTCCGCCTCAATGCCAGCCAATGCATGCCTCCAGACCATCAGGCTATTGCACTGCGGCTTTGGCTGTGTGTCCAATGAGTCCAGGGCACGGATCGCCCCCAGAACCCACTCGACCAGCTCGCTCGGCTGCTTCTTATCGCCAGCAAGAACCCCAACCAGTGCGCCGTAGCACTCCTGGTAACGCCTTTTCGTCATGCTTTCCGGATACATATAGATGATAAACCACACCACCTGTGCGGCTCCGCGAGCATTCGCAATGCCGCTGTCCTCGGCCGACCCAAGGGTGGCTAGGAGCCGCGACAGCGACGTATGGCCGGTGCGCATGCGCTTCCGCCGCCTAAGCGACCCCTGGCTGTCCTGCGACCGGTCGGCACGGTCCAGCAATTTGACTGCCAAAAATCCCACTGTGTCGAAGAACCCGTACTGGAATGGATCCAGTGTCGTGTGCAAGTACTCCATCACCGAGCGCCCCGGTCGCGATTTACAATGTACCATCGGCCACAACGAAAGAAGCGCGCGAGGAAGCGACATGAACCGGAACTTGTCCCACGACCCCGTCGTCAATGTCTTCAATGCCATCTCTAGCAGCGCCCAGCCGTCGTCGCTGTCCGCCAGGTTGCAGTATATGAGCCTGGTTAGGATCCGGATGCACCGCAGCACCGAGTGTTTTGTATGTGTGGACCGCGTCGACCACAGATGCAGACATGGCGACAGTAGCTTCATGGAGAGCTCGGAATCCCCAATCGCTTGATCGTCCGGCAGGGCAATTAGCACCGCGTTGACTGTATCGATGATATGCATATGGCACGGGTTCTCGCGCTCATAATAGCACAGGAACTCGGCACAAAACCCCATCACCGGTTCCCGAAGCTTGGCCATTCGCGCCGGGTTCGCGCTGCTCACCACTGCTGACAGAGTTGCCGCATACTCGACATCCCCGGGCACCACTGCTGCTGCCGAGGCTGCCGAGTCCTGCGACTCTGCCACACTATCAAACCTTCTCAGGAACCGAATACACAGACCAACCACTGCCAGGACCAATTTATCCCCGCAGCCACGCAGATGCGGCGGATGCGCCACCCACGCCCTTAACACCTTGCCATAGTCCAGTCCCAGCACCGGCACCAGTGACGGATCGTCCGCAAATGCCTGCGTGATATGCTTCGCCATGAATTTCGCCAGCCTGCCCGATACATGCGGAATCATGGCAATCCAGATATGCCGCACATGGCCTGAGTACTGCGACTGGATCCTGCTGGCCATGCGCTGGCCCGCCAGCGACAAGTCAAGGCCGTCTTGGCCGTGCCTATTGATGAACACCTGCGACTCCTTGATTAGGATACGCGCGGTCCACGATACAATATGCTCACAGACCTCTTCACTGAGCGTGTCCATGATTGTGCTCTGTTCTCGCTGCGACTCCTCGGCGAGTATCTCGGCTATCTGCTGTATCCCGTGTGTGCGCTCCGTGGCCTTGCTGGACTCGAGTTGCTCAAGCGGCTTGAGAAGCGCTGGGTCGATAGCCACCTTGCCGCTTTGCCACGTACCAGCGGTGTCCTCTTCGGCTACTAAATTGACGTGTCGCCGTGAGCCACTCATTTTGGAGGGTTTCATATAGTGGAGAAATTAAAATGCGAATAATGAAAACTAGAAAAACACACGCGAAATGAATGTTATGAAAGAAAAAGCCCTGACTCACTGCATTCAGGGCAAGTGTTTCTGGTGTGTCCGAAAGGGTCGTCTATTCTCTGGTACTCAGCTGCTGATCAATTTACGGCTTCAGCACAAGGAGGGGTATTATTCTTTGGGAAATCACAAGTTAAAAGCCAGTGACTTCACAGTATAGGACCCTCCCCCATGGCTACCTTAACAGTACCATCACCAGATATGCTTTCAACTCCGACCAAGGTGTGAAGGAGGACCTATTCTCAGCTACCCGGTATCCTCAACGGAACACTCTGGCTCGACGTGCCAGGTGGGGTGGAGCTAGGCCAAGCGACGGAGGCTGGACCCCAAGATGGGCGACATGCTCGTGACTTGCAAAGAACATGTTGGTGAACTGGGGGATCCGCTGGCCACCAGGCCCGATCTCAACATGCCCAGGTACAACTAGGCCGGCTCTCTTGCCGAATCCAGTATCGCCACCCAGGGCCCCGGGGAATGGAGCCAGGCCGTCTTGGAGCTGGAATTCGCCAGATAAACCTTGAACGAACCCTTCAGGCACGCCGCCGGAAGCGAGTACTGACCCAATACTCCCAAATCCGCTGTTAATGTCTGGAGATGAAATTCCAAGCGATTCATCGGTGACGCGCGCTCCAATTGAAACCCCGTGTTGCTGGCAGAAAACAGGGGTGGCAAGTGCTAGTACAAACAGCTTCATATGATAGAGCAGCAGATTCTCGGTTGAAGGATAATTGCTGGATCCATGATGCTTTGGAGAGACAGGCTGCCTTTATACTCTGCTCCGTGGCTTGTGGTGCCAGCATTTCTGCGAAATTAAAAACAAATATTCGAAGAAAACTGTGGACAAAAATGTCATTTACAAAACGCACAATAAACCACCACTGGCAGAATAGATGGAAGAGCCAACATTGTGGAACCAGTCCTACTCGAACAATAATAACGTTGGTACCAAGTGCATGCTCGGAACAACTAGACAGTCGTAGACGTCAACAATGCGACAACAATGACATGTATTTCCCATTTCAGTGTGCCACATATACCAATATATAGACGATTGCATAGCGTTGAGTGCGCAATACATGGAATGTGATGTATTTGGGTTGGGATACAAGCTATATCTAATTATCAGCTAATGTAGCTCAACTATATGATAACAGTATTCGTATTTGACTCAGGCCTGGTTCTGGATGACAGTGGCCTTCTGTCCGTTCTGCTCAGCAGCAACAGGAACACTGGCAACAGGAGCTGCAGTGACGGGAGCAACAACCTCCGGGACAACAGCAGAAGCTGTAACTGGGGCAGCAATGGACTCGGCGACAACTGGGTGGACAAACTGAGGAGTGAACACGGGCTGGACAAAGGCTGGAGCAAACACGGGCTGGACAAACTGCGGAGCAGCAATGCCAAAGGCAGTGCCAACAACAGTACTGGCCTGGTGGTGGTCATTAGCAAACACGATATCACCGTTGCGCTTGAAGACGCTGCTGACAACACCGTTGTTAACGAAGCCAGGAGTCACGAAGCCAGAAACGCCGATTGGCGCAAAGCCGCCAGAGACGAACTCAGGGTGGGCGAATTGCGGTGCAACATTCACCTGATGGGCATTGTCAGCAAACACGACATCGCTGTTGCGACGGACAAACCCAGCAGCGCTGAATGTGTTCTGGACGGGTCCAAGCAGGTTCGAATCGCCGTTTGCAGTCCAGCCGTCGTTACCCTTGACATGGGACTGCGATGGGTTGTTGACGATGTTGCCCTTGGATACATCATTGCTATTCACGGTCGAGAAAGACGATCCGAAAATGTTGGTGAAAGCATTGCCGCCCTGGCCGGATCCGCCAGAGAAGAACGAGCCGTCAGCCTGCCAGCCGTTGTTGACATTCGGAGCTGAGATGGCGTTGGGGGCTGAGACAATGCTGGGGCCGTCGGTGGAGCCAATCTCCTGGCCGATCGCCGAGGCAGAGGCGATGGCAATGAAGGTGGTGGCGGTACGCATGGTTGGAGATTTGTAGTCTGTGGTTGACGAGGGATTAGTCGTGAGGAGTAAGAGCTGGTAGAGATCAGTAGCTTGTAGCGGTGGCTGGCTCCGGCTGCGACTGGTCTGGTTTTATACCAGAGATCCGGGACTAGGCGGGCCTGTCCTTTAGACTGTCCTTTAGACTGTCCTTTAGACTGTCCTTTAGACTGTCCTTTAGAGCTGGTTGTGATGTAGGGATTCAAAGTTTGCGTTAGCACAATTGCCGGTAGGAGCCATTCTCCTACAGCTCCCTTGTTTCGCCGGTCACGCAAATGGTCTGCATTACTGTTGGTCAACCAACAAGGCTGTTGCTGTGTCTCTGCCAATTGATGTCTACTTGGCGAGGGCTGGTCCGCTTGTTTCTGTGACAATTGCTAGGCTTTGTCGTGGCCATTATCTGCCAGATATCGCCACACCGCGAACAACCACGCCGCAAACAAACCACACCGCTCCCCGTCGCTAGCGTGCGCAGCATTTGTTCTTTGGGCTAGGACCGTCTCTTTGTCAATGCGGTGCGGTTTCTGAAATGAAGCCGAGCCAACTGCACGTAATCGAGGAGAGGCGGGGGTCTGACTACTGCTGTTGCGCCATTGCTCAGCTCGTGAATTGTTGGTCAGGATGATGACAATAGCGTGTGTCGACATTTATGACGTAGGCAGCATTGGCTTGCATTGCGTGATTGGTGATATGAATGCAGGATATATTGGAAGAGCATCAAGTGCAATGGGCTCGTGCTCAGCACGGCCAGATATTAGTGATGAGAATAGGAGCTACGCCTGGTTCTGGATGACGGTTGCCTTCTGGCCGTTCTGCTCGGCAGCAACGACTGGGGCAGCCTGGAAAGCCGGCTGGACCACAGGCTGAAAAGCTGGCTGGACCACAGGCTGGATGAACTGCGGGGCAGCAGTCCCAAAAACCGGCTGGACAAACTGAGGAACAGCAAGTCCCGGAGCGGCAACTCCCAGAGCGGCAACTCCTGGAGCAACGGTAGCCTGGTGATGGTTGTTGGCGAACACGACGTCGTTGCTGCGCCTGTACACCGCACCAACGATGGCTGGGTGGACAAAGGCAGGGTGGACAAAGCCTGGAGCACGGTTCAGCTGGTGGTGGTTGCTGGCAAAGACGACGTCGCCGCTGCGGCGGACAAATCCATGGCCGAAGAAGTTCCCGACGGGGCCGAGCTGGTTGGAATCGCCGTTGGCGGTCCACCCGTCGTTGCCGGAAACCGAGGTGAACGATGGGTTGTTGATGATGTTACCTTTGGACAGGCTGTTGCTGTTCACGGTTGAGAACGAGCTGCCGACGATGTTGTTGAACAGACTGCCGTGGCCGCCATCGGCACCCGAGAAGAAGGAGCCCTCGGCCTGCCAGCCGTTGTTGACGTTTGGAGCTGAGATGGCGTTGGAGCCCGAGACGATGCTGGGGCCGTCGGTGGCACCGATCTCCTGGGCAAAGGCGGTAGCAGAGGCAATGGCAAGGAACGAGGCGGCAGTACGCATGATTGAGGAGTAAGATTACGCTTAGACGGAGGGTGGCGAAGGATTGGGATTGATTAGCGGCAAGAGAAAGAGCTGTATGCTGGTAGGTAGCTTGAGGAGAACTGCTGGAACTGCTGGATCTCACCTGTGTTTTATACCATCGACGTGCCTGGCGACGACTTTGATATGCTTCGTCCAAGATCGCTTGCAGCAGCAGAAGCAGCAGCAGCGGCGGTAGAAGCAGCAGTCAAGTTCGCAACAACAGCTGGTGCAACTACCCCTCGCAGCAGCTGCAGTGGCCAGGCTGTTTGTCTGGTGGTCGACAATGTCGAGCGATTTAATGAGGCAGCCAGCTGAATGGCCATCATTGAAGTTCCATAACCCCACTTTTCTACTACTCCTGCAGCCAGGCAGCTCAGCAAGCTGCAAGCGCACAGATATCTCCAGTGAAGACCTTGCAATGCAACTACGTTTTGCTTTGGGTTGCTGCCTCTAGGCTACTAATGTCCTCTACCCTAGCACTCATTGACTTCATATGCAAACATCAATCAGGGTCGGCTCGGCTCGATCGCTTTCGGCGCAGTTGCACCATCGCAAGATGCTCTAGGTACACGAACCAATGCATTACTGCCTTCCTGCATTGCGATATTGAGAGATATGCCTCGAAAAATAGCATGCTATAGTGTGCAAGATGTCTATTATTAACAACAACGGCCATGTATAAATCCAGGCTCGGTGAGGTTGAATTGTGAGGACTCTTGTTGAACTGTCCGTATACTTTTCTCATCAACCTACAAAAAATCGTTGCAATGACTAATTCGCTTCTCTTATCTCTCACTGCCATTCTTGCTCTTTGCGATATTGCTGGTGTTGCTGGACAAATCCGTGGCGACGAATGCCGGCGGTTCTACTGGTCGCCTCGGCTAATGAACCGGTATCTGCACGAAAATTGGGTGGTAGACGAGCGCGAGGACGACATACCGCAAACGCGAAAGGCATACGAGCGCAACCTGCCATCGCCATACCGAATCCTGCACCCGGACGAACAGGACGAATACAACCACCGGCAGCACTACCGGCTGACGGTCTATGTGGACGACAACAATCACGTCACAAAGCTCAAATGCTGCTGATTTTTCCTCTTTGCCACTGCAAATCCTCTTTCCCAACCGGTGCCCCCGACGATTGGCTACAATTTGGCCGAACCAAAAGATTTCCTTTGTGAGCTCGTACCGCTCAACCGCCAGCTCCAGGCAGTGTGGCCGGAGTTTCACGGAATAGTGGGATTAGCTCATGTGAAAGGCAGTGGGGAATTTTTATCTATGGCGCGGGAAATTTATGGCTGGTGTCGCTTAATAAAACCAAACTCTACGCTAAAAAATGCCCAGGGATCAGGGAAAAGGGCTACAAAAGATTCCGACGGCAAAAGGATGAAAACCACCCGGCTCTGCAGAGCCCAGACGACGTGCATATTCTCCCTCGGAGGCTGCGAGCAACGATGCAGTTCCGTTGTCCGGCCAAAGAGGGAGTGGCGGGCAGGGGGAGCGAGGCAGGGCATGGTTGCTTTCGGAGATTAGGCTAGCCAGTCAGAGTGTCCGGAGCCCGTCAGTGCGCCCACTCTACCCCCAAAAAATATTTTTCCACCATTGCAGGCGAGTCACAGATAAAGTCCAGGCTGGGTGCCACGCTCCATGCTGTCTGCGCCCTTCCGCGGCTCGCTTTGACTGTTTTTTCTTCAGAGTATAAAGAATAGACGCGGCGTCAAGGTCCAGGCACTCTGGACCTTTGTTTCTTGTCTCCACATTGCTTCATTTCTTTGGTTCTTATTTTAGATCCGCAGAACTCCCTCTTGCCCTTTTTTTTTTTTTTTAGATAATCATGTTTGCGAGGACAAGTGTTCGTCTTAGTCGCATGGCGACAACCTTTGCTCAGCGCCAAGCCATGTCTACGCTGAACAAGCAGGCCAAGCCGCGCACATCCCGGCTGCGCCAGATCAAGCGCGCAGTATACGCCGTCGGACTCGGCACGGCAGGATTTATGGGCTGGAGCATGTACACGACCCGCAACCCGAGCGACCAAATGCCGTTTGACCCGTCAAAGAAGACTCTGGTTCTCTTGGGTACAGGGTGGGGCAGCACAACTCTGCTCAAAAACCTCGATACAACCAACTTTAATGTCGTTGTTGTATCTCCGCGCAACTACTTTTTGTTCACACCGCTGCTGCCCAGCTGCACTGTCGGCACTATTGAGAACCGCTCGATCATGGAGCCCGTGCGTCTGCTGACGAGGCACAAGGAGCGCGAGGTCAAGTTCCTGGAGGCTGCGTGCGTTGATATCGATGTTGATGCCAAGCAGCTGGTGCTCGAGCGCCATACCAACTCGGACGCGATCCTGACTGGCAAGGGCAAGGTGGACGAAGAGCCGTTCAAGCTCAACTACGACTACCTGGTCGTAGGTGTTGGTGGCACTGTCAACACATTCGGCACTCCAGGTGTCGAGGAGCATGCCTGTTTCCTGAAGGAGATGGCCGATGCGCGCCAGATCCGTCGTCGTCTTATGGACACTGTCGAGAAGGCGTCGTTCGATGATGTTACCGAAGCCGAGCGCGACCGTTTGCTGCACATGGTCGTCGTGGGTGGCGGGCCAACGGGCATTGAGTACGCTGGAGAGCTGCACGACTTTATGGAGGACGATCTTTCCAAGTGGTACCCAGAGCTGGTGGATCGCGTGCGGATTACACTTGTTGAGGCTATGCCCAATGTGCTGCCGGCGTTTGACAAGAAGCTGATTACGTTCACCCAAGACACGTTCAAGGAGAACAACATCTCGATCCTGACACGTACCATGGTCAAGGAGGTTAAGGAAAAGACGTTCATTGTACAGAACCCGGACGGCACGAGGTCGGAAATCCCTTACGGACTGCTGGTGTGGGCTACGGGAATCAAGGCGCAGCCTATCACCAACAAGATTCGCCAGAAGTTCCCAGAGGTCCAGACCAACGGACGTGGTCTCTTGGTTGACGAGTACTTGCGAGTCAAGGGTGCTAAGGACATTTGGGCGCTCGGCGACTGTGCTGTTTCGTCATATGCTCCGCTGGCCCAGGTCGCCTCGCAGCAGGGCAAGTGGTTGGCGCGTAAGTTCAACCATCTGTCGAATGATGACCTCATCACCGATCTGTTTTTGCAGATGAACGCAAAGACTCGTCCGTTCAAGTATTCGTCGCAGGGATCGCTGGCTTACATCGGAAGCGAGAAGGCTATTGCTGACCTCCCCTTCTTCAACCGCAACATTACTGCTGGTGGAGTGGCCACCTTCTGGTTCTGGAAGTCGGCCTACCTCAGTGAGCTGCTGTCGCTTAGGAACAGGACACGTGTTGCCATTGACTGGGCCAGCAGGTGGATGTACGGAAGAGATCTTAGCCGCGAGTGAATCTCGTGTTGTTGAACATTGTCTTCAATTAGTCTAGATAAGAAAAGTATATATGACCCTGATATGTGTACACCACGCGGCTGATGTATAGCCCAAGCATGAAAAAGAAATTTCTGGTTGGCGTGATACTTGCTGAGAGCCTACATATCCACCGGTTCATCAAAGACCCTTGTTTTTCTCACTCGCCGCCGCTCATTCTGGCACCACCACACCACCACCACCACCACCCACTCACCCATCAGGAGCGGCAGCAGCGGCTGCACTGCCACTCGCCAATCACTCTTTCGGAAATCAACCGCTCGCACCTAGTTTATTATTCAAAGCGTGTTCAAAAGGGCGGTGGACCTTGCCAGAAGCTGCCGGAGGCGTTCGCACTCTCTTTGCAGCTCGTCCTTGTAGCTCTCTGCTTGCTGCTTTGACTCCAGAGACGCAACACTGGCCAGGCTGTCCAGCATCACCGAGTCGCCGTCGTCGTCCTGCGTCTGGCTGGTGGCACTGCTGGTGCTGGTGGCACTGCTGGTGCTGGTGGCACTAATGCTGCTCTTGCTGCTACTGGAAGAATCCGAAGCCAGCTCGACCGCCATCGCCAGGCTCTCGAGCCCACACAGCGTCGGTGACTCACACACTGTCGCATCGCTGTCGATGCTGGGCGACCGCTCGATGCGGCTGTGCTGCGGCGTTGTGCGGTTGCGGCGCTTGATGACCGCCCGCTTCATCGTCACAGGCCGGATCTTGTTGTGCAGCTTGTAGTACAGCCCGCACGCATTGCAGATAACGTTGCCGTCGGGGTCGCGGCGCCAGAGCGGCGTGTAGTCGACCCCGCAGTTGTAGCACGTCGGCGTCAGGCCCTGCTGCATCTGCTGCTTGGGCGACACCCGCTTGCGCTTGACCGCGTGTCCGTCCTGGCTCAGCTGCTTCTGGTTGTAGGCTGGACAGCCAGCGCACGACGAGCTGCCGCCTGTGCCGTCGCATTGGCCGTTGCCAGGGCACGTGCCGGCGGACTCGGTCTCAGTCGACGACGACTGCGATGGCGAGCAGCAGCCGCCAGAACACGACGAGCCGTCGCGATTGGCAGGCGGTGACGAGCGCTTCTTGATGGTCTTCTTGAGCGGATGCATGGTGTTGTACGCCTTCAGGTAGAGCCCGCACCGGTTGCACAGGTGTGCGCCTGTCGCCGGATCCCGCCGCCAGAGCGGCGTTGTCGTGGTCTTGCAGTTCATGCACGAGATGGGGCCGGCTGGCTGGCGGGCCACCCGCGGAGTGCTGGTGGGCTTGATGGTGCGGACAGCCGGCAGTGGTGCCGTGTTGGCCAGGGGTGCTGTTGCCGCCACAGGTACTGCTGCTGCCACACCGCCAGTCTGCTGCCGCTCGAGCTGCTGCTCAGGCTGTGTCGGGATAAGAAGCGAGGAAATGGAGAATGACATGGTTATTATTGTTTTTTTGCTACTATGTACAGGCGAAGAGTGTGGAAATTGATGCGGTGGAGGAATGGAAAAGCGCAGGTGAGGAGAAATCTGATGATGCGCTACGAGATTCTTCCACCCCAGCTATTTATGCCTCGCACTTGGCATCATCTTTTCCTTCACAGTGGGTTTATCTGACGAAAAGATAAAGAGCGCGGCGACTCAATCGGATAAGCCAGCCCCCGTCCCCCAAATCGCACCATCCTGCTCG